GCGAAAGGGTTGCGCGGACAAGTTGGAAATCGCAATTTTTCCTCAGTTTTTGACGATCGAACCTCATTTCGTGCGAAAGGGTTGCCCGGGGCCACTTGCAACTCGTAATTTTTCCTCAGTTTTTGACGATCGAACCTCATTTCGTGCGAAAGGGTTGCGTTTCGTGGCGTCTCGTTGCCACTGCCCCTGCTCCCGCCTTCAAAAGAGAAATAGAAAAGAAGGAGAGGGCAAGAAGGCAAGAGGGCAAGAGGGCAAGAGGTGTGAGAAGATGTGAGAAGATGTGAGAGAAGATGAAAGAAGATGTGAGAAGATGTGAGAAGATGTGAGAAGATGTGAGAAGATGTGAGAAGATGTGAGAAGATGTGAGAAGATGTGAAGGTGAGAAGATGTGAGAAGATGAGAAGATGTGAGAAGATGTGAAGATGAGAAGATGTGAAGATGAGAAGATGTGAAGATGTGAAGATGAGCAGATGTGAGAGAAGATGTGAGAGAAGATGTGAGAGAAGATGTGAGAGAAGATGTGAAGATGAGCAGATGTGAGAGAAGATTTGAAGATGAGCAGATGTGAGAGAAGAAAGAAATTTCGTGCCAATGGGGTCCCCAAAGTGAATGGGGTCCTCAAGCTATGCAACTCCGCTACCATGATGCAACTTCTGATAACTTGCCTGGCGGCAGCTCACGATACTTTGAGTTTCGTGCTATTTACACCTCTTCAGAACGAAAGCCTCGCACATTGCACATGCATGCTTGGCTACTTGCAACAGTCCGTTTGGTGCGTTCTTTACTTCTCTACTACCCTTTGACATCTCTTTAAAGCGGTTCCGCTAGTTTGAAGCTTCACCCCTTCCTATTACTAAACGTTGTGATACAAAGTGTGATGTTGATTGCCTATTCTATGAGAAGTGTCGTTTTCATTACATATCAACATCCACGGCCAAAGCCTTGCCGTAATATCTAGCTTAGATTTAAGGTCTTTGGCCCAGTTATACTATGCGTCACCCACCCACAACTCCAATGATGACAACAGCAACTACGGTCAGAAATCCAGCGTTTCAATATCACGTTTTGACCTGATGCATTGCTGGTCTAAAAGTGAGAAACCCTTCTGGCCCGACTTCTCGGCAGTGAAGTTTCGCGACATTAAGAAATCCACCGGCACCGAAAGTGCTCTGAGGCGTTTTTTGTGGAGAAGCATTAACTGCAAGCAATTGCAATCTGCTATAATTATACAAGCTAGCTTGGCGGGGCAACTTTGCTGTAAAATCCTGTGTTTTCCACGTTTTTCAAAATTTCTCATCTTCTCCAATATAAGCAAAATATCGGCCAACATAGGTCCAACATATGGGGCCAACATAGCCTCATAGCAGGGCCAACATAGCCTCATATGGAGCCACAAAGCGCCCAACAAGTCTTGCCTAATTCAGTCTTGACTAGTTACACTCTCTATCAAAACGATCGTGCTCTAAATAAAGACTTGGAAGGCCTCAATTGGGCCCAGCTCACACTGAAACGGGGACTGCCTACGGGCAACTGATGGCTAAATAATTTTTGGGGTGCTTACATTGGGCTTACATTACACAAAAATTAATGCGCATTTGGAACATAGGCCTGCCTCGCTGCGGGCGGTCTTCGTCGCGAAGCGACCATGAATAAAAGATTGGAAGCCGTGGCAGCAACTACCGGCAACCCCTTCGATCTTCAAACCCTTGTCGCTCAGTGACTATCTCATCATTGTACAGCATCCGTACATGGTTAATACACTTGAAAACGAGGCATCAACATCAAAGATTGGATACCGTGCCCTGTGCACCAAGTCTACGGCCATGAGTGGCAGCTACAAACAATACTTACCTAAAATCCACTTGTGACTTGCGAATCCAAACAAATGTTCAAGAAGCAAGAATGAATTGTCGTTTACGAGAAGAGACTGGGCGCTCTTCAGGTCAACTGCTTTGACATTCGATGAGACGACTACAAAAGATAAATCCTGATTTCTGCTGGTTCTTTCGTTAACTTCTTGGTCTGTAACATGTTGAAGCAGTCTTTTATTTTCAAACTGTTTTTCCGAACATCTTAACATACGGCAACTCTCCATCTCGGACTTTCCGAACAATAAACTTCCACACACTCCAACGCGCAATCCACATTTTTTGCGCGACAGCTGTCAGCGTCCGCTTGCAAGGGAACAAGCGCACAGTGTAGCACACACAGTGCCACAAGCTTCTGGCCTAAATTACTAAATCTTGGCTATGCAAACAAGCTAGCCCAAAAGATCACTGACTCTGAGTTGCACCGGCTTCCTGACTGGAAGAACCAGGTGCACACAAAGCTTATTTCAGCATCACCAGTGAATGGCATGGAGACCTTGTTCACTCAACAAGGTCTCAATGCCGCGCACTAGCGATTTCATTGTCCTTTTAAAGGATGCTGCTGCGGCTTCCTGACTGGAAGAAGCTGCTTCCACCGACTCAGCAGCCTGCGAAGCTGCTGCAGCAGCAAGGGCCTACTTGGCAGCAGCATGCTCACGACGAATGCCCTGCACACCATCTGCAATCAGCCCAGCAACGCCAAGGCCGGCAGTGCGGGCTTCGTGGTAAGTCACATACCTGTCGATTTTGAGGTGCAAGTCAAGATCATAGTCCGGCAGTGTGCAGGGATCTGGCTGGGAGTCCTGCCACTCTTCTTTGACATAGCCATTGTCGCAGTCGACCACAGCGACTGTCTCTGGACTGTCGCCATGCTGAGGTTCACTCTTTGGGGGGCTGCGACTTCGGTCACCACCAGCAACATAGCGAAGCGCCATAGATCCAACACAAAACAAAAAGGGTCTGTCAGGCGGCACGAGCTTGATATGCAAAAAAATGTGGGTTGACATGAAAATCAAACGGTTCAAATTTGAATCACTGGTGAAGGAAGCTGGTGGCTGCACATGGAAAGCCCACAGCAGGCAGCGCAAAAACTTCGACCGCTGTGAAACTATTTCTCACGCCCGATCGGATGTCTCTCTAAGATCCAAGGCTCTGCGTGACAGGTTAAGTTAGACTGATCGGCTGCCAGAGGCCTCAATCGACATCAACTCCCGGTCCCTCTAACGTCTTATCATCGTCCAAGTCTTCTTCCTCCGCACCTTCGGCCTCAGAGCCAGCATGGTCACCGGCAGCGTTGGACGCGTCCTCAGCAGCAGCGCTGGGCTCCTCAGGGGCCGCAGCACTGGGGGCAGCTCCACCAGCACTCGAATCGACGCCTTCGGCCTGACCAGGCAACATGCAAAAAAATGAACTGCTGGCCAAGCCGGTCAAACTGACGGCTGGCTGACAAACTAAGAAGCCGCCTCCGGAACACGCTCGAAAGGCTTCCTGCTCTCCAAGTACTCTGTCGTGGCCGCCCTGCTCATCTCTGCCTCGGAGCTGAGCCGTCCTCTGACTTTGAGAGGTGTCTTTTGTGAAATGACCCCAACATGTTGTATGGACAAAATGAAGTCACGAACACCTGCACCACAACAACCACCACCACCACAACAACAACAACAAGAAGGAAAACAAGGAAAACGAGGAAACCGAGGAAAACGAGGAAAATAAGGAAAACAAAACCACCTTGCCATCAAAATGCCATCATGCTCTTCACATCCCCCTTGGACTTTCCATTGTTAAAGGCCTTGATTCCTTCCTGAATGATCTCCAGAGACTTCTCCTTTGTAACAAATTTGCCACCGGCCTTAGCCAGACATCAGCCGGCGGAATGGACAATCAAAGGCTAATGGAAAAGACTCTGCAAAGAGATCTGGGCAAGTTGCTGAGAAAGGCTGCTTCCCAGTCGACTTGAACTTGCACGCCCAAGTGTTGCTCGATTTGTACCAAAAAGGATTGCTTAGGTCACCTGGCAATAAGTGTAAAGAAAAACACCAAAATGGCTGCACGTGCAACCTAGTGGACTCAAAACCAAGACCAAGTCAAGGGGCTTGGGCTTGGCTCAGCAGGCGAAGCACGAGCAGCATTGTCAGGCTCAGCGGCCGCAGCTGGCCGTCGCAAAGCGGAAGGACGCTTCATGACGACTTCCTTCTTCTGTTTCTTCTTCTTCGGCTCCGCCACCGAAGCTTCACTAGGTTCAACAACTTCCACTCCCGGCTTATCCTTGGCCTTGGGCTTCATCTTGGGGATCAAAGACTTTGCTTTTGCCTTCGACTCCTTCGGCTTCTCCGTCTCAGCTTGCTCGGCGCCAGCAGAAGGTTCGAGAGCTGGTGATTCCTGAAGAGCAACACTTAAAGACCCAATCTGGGCTAAGTGTTGCACAACAAAAATGAAACCTACGGCTCAGGAGCACTTGGCACTGCTTAAAAAGGACACCAAGCCTCGTCGTCTGACAGCGTGTCGACGTGTCCGCAAACGGGCATGCTACAAGGTCAAAAGAGATTGGCACGAGAACTATGTCCGATTTGGGTCATGAAACAAGCCTGCCGGCGCATTCAAAAACTTGCTTATAGAAACGGTTGTGATTTCAAACATGGGTGCCAGGTCATGAACGCTGAACCAGAATGACTGGCTAACCGCTGGAATTTTTCACATGAACTGCCAGCTGTGTAAAGGTCACTATGGCCTGCTGTCGTCGGCGACATTTTGCCATTCAGGTTCGGCCAAAACATGCAAACAAAGAAGACTCTCGGAGTTGCGGGTGTTGTTTCACCATCCATACACCACGCCAGAACCGGCGACAAAATTCACCGTCAAAATTTTTTTGACAGGCCATCAAAATGCTCATCGGGCCAGCCACTTGCAACGACGATGCAATCATTAAACACAGCCATCATACACGGTCAAAGTGTCACATGATAGTAATAGTAATGAGGAAATTAAAGTCCAAAAACCACTGATAATCATGTTCTCACTTCTGACTGGCAGGCCAAAACCAAAACCGGTGAACTCTCAGGGCTCACTTTCTGATACAGCAGCAGACTTGCTCGGCAAATGGATGCGGGCAGTCATGTCACTCTGAACTCTCGGGGCTCACTTGCTGATACAGCACCAAGACTTGCTCGGCAAATGGATGCGGGCAGTCATGTACAGCTTGGGCTTGGAAATCTGGATCTTTGGCGGCGATGAGGTGAACTGCACCTGGCTGCACCGTCGGTTTGTTTACTGATAAAATCACAGTTAACGATAACAGCCCCATGCCCATCTCCCATCCGATTTCGGCGGGAAACCCAGGCCTCCCACACCACTGAACAAATTTTGTTCTTCACGAGTTTGTCAAAGTTGCCTGCAAAAACTGCTCCGATCATGGTGGACGCAATCTGATCACGTCCTTCACTCAACCCGTTGGGCTTGTAGACATGAGTGGCCTTCGATCTCAGCGGAGTGATGGCATACCGGAAGGTGACTGGAACAGGATCGGCCCCGTCGACTGCCTAAGCTAGCAAAAAAAGTGGGCATGAAAACCGATCAAAGGCTGCAATGATGATACATCACACCTATAGGGTGACATCTGAAGACCCTAAGGCCTCAAAAACTGAAAAGTCAAACACAAGTTCCATGCAAGCTACTGCATGATATCTGGGTTCCAGCTGGTGGTCCTCAATCTCCAACTCGCCAATGCCCTGTTCGGTGGCAAGCTTCCGCAAGAATTTGCACACAGGGTACCATGTTCGGTCAGAGCTGACCAAAGAAAGGTCACTTGACAGTCGCCACGGCAAGACATCCTTTTCAGCACTTGGATCACCTGCGGTATCTCAAGACCACGGCAAAATGATCCGGGCTGTTCAAAAAATAACAATAGAAAGAAAATGCGCAAAGCTGGCTATACCAAAGTTACATAAAAAAAGACAAGCGTTTGTCACGCCGAATGGCTAACCACTTTCTCTTCAAAGACACCAGTCCCGAATCCCAGCAGCTCCCCAGGCTCCACCACAGAATCCGAATCTGACGTGTTCCCCAACCAAAGGGAAAAGTCCTCGCAAATGACAATGGCTGGCTTCTTCCTGGTCATAGCACACGTTGCCCGCCTGCAGCTGGCAAGTGAAACATCAAGATTCAAGACAGAATGGAGAAAACAGAAAACTGCTCTGATCCTGATATGATCCCCAACCTTGGAAAAACAAAAAATCTCATGTTGACCAAGTCAACGATAACCGTTAAACTCTTTCCCTGTTTGTCCTGACCTGGCCTTGGCTCTTCGAACTGATCGTTCGCCACCATTACCAGCTCAACATTACGGTCGATATCAAGGGGCTCAAGGTTGCCATCAATCGAGAAATCGCACATGCCACTGGCCCGTCCAGGCACGACAGGGCCAGGGGCTACAGCCTCTGTAGCTGGAAACATGTCCAAGAACCTGCTCTGCAACTTCTTCACCTCCTGAAACTCCACCGTCTCCTCTCCAAAGCGGTTCATCAATGGTTCCGGGAAGACCGGCTGACCGTTCTGCCAAGCTAATATTTGCAAGTTGGGCGCGGCTCGGTCAGAAGAAACATCGGAATCTGGCCGCTGCTTCGGTGGAGCTTCTGCGGAAGAATCCCAAGCCCGGTAGATCATGTCTCTGATAGCATTCGAAGCATCTTTGAAGTTCTCCGATGGAACCAGCCCAAAGTACCGAACATCAGTCTTCTGACCAGCCAAAGAACGCTCTGTCAATGCTCGTCCAAACTCCACTTGCCTCACAAAGCTGTGATTGGATCCATGTCAACACACTCAGCCGGTTTGCTTCCAAACACAACGAATGTATGAACAACACTTTTTTTCACGACACAGGCAAGAAACCGGTTAGGCAACAAATCCAGAAACAGCACACGGTCCCCTGCTCCAATGGGCATGTTCTGGAGGAGGCCATCCACAATTTGATCATGGCAAGGAATGCCTTTCCTGCAGCTGCAGTACAGCTGAATAAAACAAATAATCTTGTTAGGGACCCAAGTCAGAGGACAAACCACACCAAACCCTTTCAAAAAAAGGAGCCAACGCCAAACAAACAGCATCAAATCAAATCTGTTCTAAACCCCATCCAATCTTCTGCTCCACCCTTGCTGAAGCACCTGGTCTACGCACCTCATCGAAGCCCAGCAAGTCAGCAATGCGAATCAACGGCACCGGCCCTAATTTCCCAAGTTTGATGGCGCTGGAGTCCATGAAGGCGCAGCTGTCGAAGTTGCCGTGAAAGACACCCATCGCCATTTGGGACATTGGCCGTCCATCGCGAGCCGTAGAATCAGGTTTGTCATAGAGAAACAGCAATGGGTGATACGCAGTCAAACCTGCTTTCAGCAAAAGATTGTCGAGAGTGTGCCGGTGCTTCACCAAAGTCATTTGGTTGGTCTGGCTCTGATAAACAGGGTACTGCACGATGCCAACATGTGTGGAGGACAAAGCCAGGACAGAGGACAGGTTGCTCACAGCATCGGCCAAATAGTTGCTGTTCGCCGGCCAAACAGTCGCGTCAAGCGAGACAATGAGGTACCTTTGAACCAAAAACAATGAAAACAAAAACAATGAAAACCATAGGTTGGGATCAATCTATATACACCAGTGCTGAGAAACAAAGCTCTAAAATGGGCAAGTTACTGCTGCCCAGAGATCCCACGAAACTGCTCTTTGAACTTCAAGAAATCTCCCAACGCATGCTGACTCTCGTAAGTGTCAGTTTGCTCCACGAGGCAAGCACGCTCACCCAGGTACTTCTCAACATGCAGTCGCCCCTTCCTGACACAGGCAAATCATTCTTGGCTGCTAGTTAATAGCGTAATTTTTGCCATTATTGCATCTCTCGGAATGGCAATCACATCCACTTGAACTTGAAAACAGCACAGGGCACCAACTGGCAACATAAACATTGCCTTTAACAATAGCCAAGGGTCTCTTGTCGATCTCGCAAATATTTCAAATCCTTGGCCGTGCTCTGCGCTTGTGACAAGTCATCGGGGATGAGATCCTGAAGCAGCCGCAGGTCATTCTCAATCTTTGCAATCACCTGCTTGCCATCTGCTGCGCGGAGATCCGACGCCAGCTTCAAATCCTCCTGCTCCTTGGCAATGCGAGCGGCCTGCTCCACTTTTGCAACGTATGGCCTCAGCAAGCAAAGATTGCAACACTAATGGAAAACGACACTGTCAGAAAGATTCAAAAAGAACTTGCAGTAAACCTAAGGAACAAAGTAGTAACTAGGTAAAACTTCAAATCATTATAATTCATCGCAAGCTGCCTGAAAGCGGCAATGGCAGAGAGGTCGCCGGGTGGGAAGGAAGTAGTCAAAACATGCTGAAGGTCAGCATCAAGCAGGCCACGCAGAAACATCTTGTGGAGCTCCACATACGCTCGGTCGTAGTCGGCAGGAGGCGCCAACCTCTCAAACATCCTCAAAAAGTGGAGAAAAGCTCCGCAAGCCTGGTGCTTCTGCAAGCCGATGGTGTACGACACAGCCTTCCGCATAGCAGGCTGAGAGGAATCATAGTCCTGCTTGATCCTGTCCACGAAAAGCAAAGCCTCACATGGGGAAGCAACGGGAATGAACAATTGTGTTGGACTAGTTCCCAAAAATATCAGCATGCCTCAGCAAACAGTAAGCAAACAATGTTTGCAGCCAGCTTGTGAGGCTGGTCAAAGTTTCCATTCGCAAAGGACAAACCTGAAGAGGGTGATATTGGGAAATCAAACTGGAACCAATGGCTTTCCAAAGAAATAAAACAGAAGCCGCAGTCTCTGACTGCACCAAGGTGGTGTGTAAAGATTCAAGACGTTGGCTGTGTGTGTGTGTGCTTGTTACGTGTCATTTTTTTCTACGCTTTTTCCTTGTTTCTTCACTGATTTGTTTGTTTTAAGCGTCACAAAAACAGCAATCACTTGATTTTGAACATGCACTCTGTCCATGTGCAGCACTCAAAGTAAAACAACATAAAACAACGTTAATCACCAGCTTTAACCAACTGGAGAGAACATCTTTCGGTTGAGATACGAGCTTGCCATCTCCTTCATTCCTGAGATGGTCCTTCCAGTGCTCCAGCCCGCTCACCCCGCTCGAGAAAGCAGTGTTCAGGACATCCTTTGCGAGGCACTCATGGGTGATGAATTTCGCCATGCCTCGGGTACGCACAGCAGAAGCCAAAGCATCAACCACTGGCTTGACCATGTTGACCATCAAGTTGGAAACGCATTCGGACTCGTGCTTTCCAATCGCAAAGGCCCTCGCCACCGACGTGGCCTTATGCCAGTCCTCTTGAAAAGCAGGCTAATGCATTCAACATGACATCTGTACAGTGACTGCTAGAACACATATTCAACTTCCCCAGTCTACTGAGCATTGAAGGAAACAATAACAGCAACAACAGAAGTGAAGTCCTGAAATTGCTGCGCAGGTCCACCACTCCCAGCTCTCTCCAAGATCATGATCTGCCGTCTGAAATGAAAGGCATTCGGAGGTCTTCTGGTCGATGTATGAATGAGGGTCGCGCCTTGAAAACCCACTGATGACACCGACCCGTTTCTGCTGAAAAAAATCCAAACACTGTTCGATGCAAGTTGCTGGAATTCAAACAAAAGCCCCACCTCGGTTAGCCTGCACTTGCCCCTTGACATCAGAGAAGTTCTGGAAACTTGCATGGATGGTGCCCCAAGACGCCTGAAAGGTCAGGATGGGTGGTCTTGGAGACCCTGGGAAGGATCAACATCAAGGAAGAAAAAATAACCTGCCTTGATGTTGCTAGGGATGCTTGCGCCAATCTCCAGCTTCCGGACAATGGCAAGCACAACCAGCAAACATACACTCCGCTTCCACCCTTTCACGTAGCCAATGGAGAATGGGCTCAGCAAATGCCCGCCTGACATGAATGGACTTGGGACCACAAACAGAAACCAATCACCTAGCCATGAATGCGGACACCAAAGGCAAATCAAGTCTCGAACAGCGCATTAGCCTCCAAAGATTGAAGGCAGCTGCAGCCAATCACGTTCCAAATAGGCTTCAGGAATCTTGGTGAGGCTGAGCTTCTCGCCGCCCACCACGTTGCTGTCACTCAAAAACCTAAGGCTGGCAAGCGGCACCCTCACGGCTGGTCAACATGCCCAACCATAGCGTACAATCGAAACATGAAACAAATTGATGAAAAGCAAAGAAATGAATGCAGCTGTAACATCAGAAAACAATCCATCGACGGCAACCACCTTGCTACTAAAGCACCCTTCAAAACAAATCAGCTCACAGATTGAAATCATCTGTTCCGGCTCGATGAAGCCGGAGCATCCTGCATCGCTTCGCCAAGCTAACATCCAAGGCCGGCAAAACTGTGGACCATTTGTTTCACAGGCATAATGCAACCTCGATGGCACACAGCGATGTTCAAACTCAAATCCAATTTGCCAAACAGCAGTGCCAAATTGAAGTTAGTGGAAATCACCGAACAAGGTCCAGGAAGCATCAAGAAAAAGATTGACTTGTGCTTTTGGCTGAAATATTGAGCTTTTCACTGAGGATTGGCAGGGCAAAAGTCATCAATCCAACCCGCAAACTCGAGCTGCTTCTCCTGCATTTTCTGCAATTCTGTCGACTCTTGAATCTCAAACACTGGTTTCCAGGATTTTTTTCCTGTTAGAAAGAATGATGAATTCAAAGTAACCTACACTCGATGCGAAAACCATCTAACATTGCCAGTCCTTGTCGGGGAACTGCTGACCAAGCCAAACGTCGGGCCCCAAAGGAACCACATCTGTCTCCAACCTGGCCAAAGCAAGCGGGGGGGTGAAACATCAACTGACATCAGACTGACACAACGCAAATCAAAACATCGCTTAAAATCGCAGCACACATCAGAATGACATCTTCAGTACTACATTGAGACAAAGAACACCTGCACGATTTGCCCTATGTAAGGGTTCTCATCTCGCGCAGAAGAAGTTTCCACCCGGGAGTTGGCCCTCTTGAAGCCACTCTTGTCACCACCACCTGACTTTCGTTTCATCAGCTCACGGGCCCGGGACTCAAAAAGATCAGCTTTCTTCAAAGCTGGCGCAGCCAAGAGACGGCGGTTGAGACATGAATCGGATCACATCAAAAACCTTAAAAAAATGCTCAAACTGAAAAGTCAAACCAACTGACATGGGTGGACCTCCAAGCCATGCCACACGCCCAGCCATGTGTGTTCACATTCCTTTTTTGCGGGCAGCACTTCGTCCCACATCAAGAATGATCACAGGTTCCCTTGGAGATGTGAATTTCATTTCCGGCCACAGACTTACCACGCACTTTGAAAGACAAATTCAAAAGCCACAGAAATAAGCTTGGGATGCATTGCCTACTAAAAGGCTTCCTACCATCAAATCAGACATTATTTTACTATACATCAAACTGTCACAATAAAAAAAAACTTGTTCTCACCAAACACTAGCCATCACTTGAAGGCAAAAAAATCTGGCAATGAAATCTGTGGCAACGTTGGCGGAGTAACCCGTTACAAAGAATCCGTCACAAAGTTGCGCGGAGAAATCCGTCACAAACTTCTGCTGGGCTCGGTTCTCGAGCAGCGGATTTGCGACCAATTTTGGTCGGATCCGTCACAAAATTGACGGAGAAATCCGTCACAAAGTTCAGGCCCTCTCAGACATAGGATTTGCGACCATTCTTGACTAAATCCGTCACAAAGTTGACAATGAAATCCGTCACAAATCTGTGAAAGAAAACCGTCACAAGATATGTCAATTTGTGTTTAGGGTCCTTTTGGTGTTTTTGAAACCGGCTGCGTCGATATGAAAGGTCCAGCTACTACCAAATCGGTCTCAAAACCAGAACCCATCCAAGGAGCCACTTTGTGACCAAAAGCAGGTTGGTTTGGTCACAAAGTTTGAGGTTGAACATTAAAGTCCTTTCACTTTGTTTTTTGGCTCTCCTACGTTGACAGAGTTCAGAAGCTCGTTTGAGGCCATTCCAACCTCACTTTGGTCACAAATAGACAGGCCAACACAGAACCAAATGAGCGACCAATTTCTAAAGTTATAAAAGTTATTTGTGACCAAGTTGGTAGGAACGGTACTGCCGCACCCAAAAAATTGGAATGCCGAAACGTTTAGGGTTTAGGACGCCGACAAAAATTGGAATGCCGAAACGTTTAGGGTTTAGGACGCCGACAAATTCCTGCAAACAAAACACAACAATCAGAACAAATCTACCTTCAACCTGGGGGTTTCAGAAGCCACTGTCACCAGTATAATAATAATCACTATATCATCATAAACCCAATCATATATGGAGGTTAAAATCTTTTATGTTCAACATCAAACCCCATTAACATATGTAATCATACTGACTCTGCAAGAAAAATCATTTACGTCCTTTTCCCTTTCCTTTTGCTTTGCCTTTATTCTTTCCCTTATTTTTTCCCTTGGACTTGCCTTTGGCATGTCCTTTTGCAAAAGGGTCAACACCAGCAGCGTTGCCGGCACGCACTGCTCGCTCGGATATGGCCAGGGCTTCAGCCCATGGAACACCCAAGCTCCACGCCCGAGCAGCTGCCACATGAACAATGCGGCGACGAGCGTTTCGAACATAGATGTCCACCTCCTTCTTGTCCCGGGTTGCCCTCGTTATCCTGACCAAAGCCCACCATAGCCAACAAATGGCATAAACATCCACAGCCAGACTGCACCAAAGGCATGGAAAAACAGTCTTGCACAATCTTGCACAACACTAATAGCTGAAACAATAACAAAGAACCAAGGATCTTCAGAATGTTTGAAGGTATATCGAAGGCGTCAGGTTGCATCAAGGCAGCATTTGAATGCGTCGCTCTCGGGCCAGGCTTGATCATGCACCTGATACAAACAAAACAAAACCGACCCGAAAGATACAAAGCTCCATGCCCAAATCTTCAACCGATCTTTCCAAGGTTCTAGCTGAGGCTGAGTGTCCAAATGACTGCAACAAATGGGGAACTATGCGCAGCTACACTTAATCTCCCTAACCCCAATCCAAGCGGCGCAGAGACATCCAACAATGGCTGCGCAGGGAGACTGCCAGAAATCCAACTCTCCAGAAAGTCAGCGCAGCGTTCCAAACCGTACAAAGGATAACGCAATACTGGCAGGAATTTCTGAATATGCTGAATCTGATCATCAGTTATCTCGCGCTCCTCTCCCAATCCTGCAAGTCCCAACAAATTGCTGGTGACATGATAGGGAAAGAAAACAAGCATGATTCCCCTTTCACACTGAGAGATTGGTGAAAACGGTTTCAAATTCCAGCCTTGTGGAAGACCGAATGGCAGCAACTTGGAGCCCACTTCACGAGGATAAACCAAGGTCGTCATGTTGTAGTCCACCGAGTTCATCCATTGTTTGCACCTGCCACATCTGAAAGCCGCAAACAAAAAAGTTGAAGATTCAGATGCATTCAAGAATTACCCGATCACAGCCTCAAGATGACATCGCCGGGGTCTGGCTCAGTTGTCCACGGTCCGCTTGAGATGGCATCTGCAGCCAAGCCTGCAAAGCTAAACGTATAGCCACTACTGTCAATGGCGCGCCCTTTCGGCTGAAAATTCCTTACTTTTTGGAATTAAAAAGGTCGCGCCAAACGGCCTCCCAAATGAAGGATTGATCTATTGATCTCTTTTGTAGATCTATTCAAATTCAAATTCACAACTTTATATTTCAGATTGTGCTGCCAGCAACTGAATCAAAAATGCACCGCAACATCGGGCAGCATCACCAAGGCATCCTAATGCCTTCGACACCGAAACCAAAGCCCAACGCAATCAAAAATGAATAAGATGCAAAACAAATTGACTGGTCCATCTACAAGAAAACAAGTCATCAGCATCGCAGTCAATGCGGCAAACTCTGATCTGGGTGCAGCATGCTGTGGGCAAGCTGAATTGATTTAAAATACATAGCACAAGCCTTCCTCGCCCAAAGCGCCTGCGTCACCACGGCGGAGGATCTCGAAGTGATGAGGGGCACCAGGCCCTCCTAAGCCCACCATGTGCACAGGAATGGCCGCCCTGTGGAAGCCGCTCCTAAGATCAAAGCAAAATCTCTGGCCAGGGCAAACATAAAATGGACACAATCTAATATACATAAATCCTTCTTGCTCCTTGCTCAGCAAACAAGTCTCCAGAACAAGCCGAAAAACAAAATTTGGTCACTGAATAACATTATTGATTGCCACTGCAGTCATCCCCAGTGCAAACCACCCACGCAGCCGAGATACCAATCTCGTGGCTCATTGAGGAACACGCAGTGTCGCTCCCCTTCAAACGGCATTTTGCACTGGGAAAGAAAACCGGTGATGGCAGTTTTGACATCATCTGGAGTTTGCAAATCACGGCACTTCAGCAAGTACTTGCTTAATTGTCCGAAACACTGATCAACATCTTCATGAGTGTGACCACTTCTCAAGTAACTTGCTTGGATGCGGTCTATGTTTTTTGAAAACACTTGACCGATCATCCAGCGCACGCCGTGGTTGTTCTTGAATTCTCTACACGTATTGTCGTGTTGTAAAAAGAGCTGGGTCGTGCTCAAACATTGCCCTTGGCGTTCTAGGAGTGTCAAGCAATGAGCTAGAAGTTCACATGACATGTTTCCATCTTTTTTGGTTGTGGGCAAGCCCACTGTGAATAAGACAAAACGTCCATGGCAAATGGCGGCTGAAACGTGCAACTTCACTTTTTGAAAGCTTGAGAACTCCTTTCCCTTTGTGATTGGTGTTCTTGGGAGTGAGAATTTCATTTGATCCATTCCATCTGCAATTATGCATACAATGTTTCCTCTCAAACGACTCATGGCACGTTTCTCCCAGTACAAGATGCGGTCACTGTACTGTGCCTTTAAATGATCGTGAAACAACTCAATTTGAGATTTGCGGGCCCTCAAGTGAGCTCCTAGTCCGCGGATCATTTGACGGTGCCGCACACATGTGGTGCAAACGGCATGCTGGCTGTCACTTCTGAACTGCAAGAAGTAAAATTCTTTCAACCATACCTCAGCAAAAACTCCGATGGCACTATAAACTAGAGACTTGACTCCCTGGGCCCCTCGACAAACAGATTCACAAGAAAGAATGAGATAAAGAATGACTTCCGGCTCTGCCAAGTGTCTCGCCAAAATGTGGGAAAGCTGGCTGGTGTTTGTAAAGTACTGACTTCACAGTACTGCACCCAATACTCCTTCATAAACCCCGGTGGGAGAAATTTCATCTCTTTGGCAGTCTCACCTTGGGTCCGTTCCAAATTCATCTCCACAGCTTTCCGTTTTTTCCGTGGCTTCGAAGCTTTCAAACCACATGCTACAGAATTCTGTTCGCACTGGCGTTTCAACTCGATGCTGTACACATCAACTGGCCCAGGCTTGATTGATGGAATGGACGTAGGATCGATGTCATCAAAAGCTGTGTCTCTCAAGTCAGGAAGGGTCTCAGCAACAGATTCGTAAATGTGGGTGAGATAACTCACCACGTCTGACCGAACAGAGTCAGCCACAGCACCAGTCCTTGATTCCGGTTTCGTGATGAACCGCAGGTCCACAGGTGCGCTCTCAGCACCATTCTCTACAGCAGAGTACAGCCTTGTCAATCGCTTGCTTCCTGATATTTGGCTCCCGCAAAACATCAAAGTTTATATAGTAAAAATCAAACTGCTCATCTGCTGAGCGGGTAATTTGGCTGTAGAAACGTTGTCAAAAAATGTTCAAACATGTTCAACAATTCTTATCTTGTCCGATATAGCCCAAAAACTGACCAACATAGGCCCATCACATGGAGCCACCAAGCGCCTTGACAAACTGTCCACTAGCACAACTTTTTCAGCGGTGAAAAAAAAGGAACAGGCCAGGTGTCCCATCCCATGCAAGGCCTTCCAAGCCCTGCGGCACACTCGCTTCTCCAGGATGACCCAATGCATCCGGCCCTCATCTTGACTTTCCCAGTGACGCCGGCAAATGTCCTTCACTCGGTCAAAAGCCTCATGGCAGCGCGGCGCAAAACTGATAGCAAAAGGTTTGGGAAAGGGTTTGTTTCAAACCAGTTCTCTGGAAAAAAACATCTCAAACAAAAGTGCTCTAGTCCTTTCTCACAGAAACGTAGCTGTCTTGGTCGAGTTTATGCAAGTCAAACCAATGCTTACGGTAGTCCAGCAAAGACTGAAAATCCTTCGCAGGAACAAACTGCTGCAAGCAGTTCTTCCTCTTGCACTTACATTCACGCCCCAGCAGCGCACGAAGAGACTGCTCACTGGCTCTATCATCGGTTTGAGGAACTGATGCCTTTGACCTTCTGCGCTTCTGCGCTCGGGGCACCGGCTCCTTTGGAGCAACTTGCTCTTTCACTGAGTCTGAGTCAGAACTCAAAGCGCTAATGACACAATCTACTGGCATCGGGGCTGACGTCCGCGCGGCGCAGCAAAAGTTAGAATGCTTGGGAGTCCCTTGGATTTATCTTCTCATGTTCACATGACCACATGTAAAAAATGCTGGCCCCTACTCTTGGGTGACTTTTGGTCCCTTTGATGTTCAAGGGATTTAATAAAACACACCTTGTTTAAAAGGATATCCACAAACCATGTCACAGAGTTTGTCCTGGTATATGGCGCACACAAAAAGTAAAGATAACGAGAAATATTGTGGACATCACAGCCATCCTTTGAAACTGATTCCTACAAACGCACAAACAAAAATTCATGCCAACGCACCACGCAATGATTCTGAAACTGAAGGCACTCAACTCTCTGATGCATGCACCAAAACTTTTTGGCAACACCTTGCACGCATCAAAACTAATCAGCTGCCTCAAGCCAACAAATTGGCAAAGGTGCCTGCAGTCTGTCAACCCCAAAAATCATTTCTCATATTTTCTCACTCAATCCGACGGAGAAACTCAGAAGCATCAGACGAGGGCCCGTTCTCAGTCTCACCAATGTCTTGGTACTTGTAGCCTGGGTCAGTCAGTTCCAATTCTTCAACCATATTTCAAGAAGCACTGGTTGTAAAACGGCCCCATTTTACAACAAATGTTCACAAAAACCACCGTATAGACTTGGATCACATCAATGAAATAGTCAAGTAGCCATGACGCTTGCAGCTCTTGTCACCACGCAGTAAGGATGCATACTTTACAACATTCACCTTGATGACTGGTAAACCAATGGCTTTGGTAAGATCAGCAAAAGGCGATGGGGCATCTCCCAGCCCCAACTCCGCGGATGGAACCAAAACGACCCTGGAGGCCGAAGTGTAAAAAGCCTTGCAGCTGAAGCAAGCACCATTGGGATCATCTGGGAAAACTGCCTCCTTGGAAACCTCCACCCAAGCTGCAGTGTTGCGCATCATTAACCTTAAACAAAAAACTTGCAGCTAAAGGACAGGAAACGAAAGCCATCAAACTAATAGTATGTGTGCAGTGCGCAATCTGGATGTAGCGTGCCATGAAGATGAAGATGATTGAGATGATGATGATGATGATGATGGTGATGATGATGATGATGCTGATGATGATGATGATGATGAAAATGAAGATTCAGATGAAGAAGATGATGATGATGATGATTGTGATGATGATGATGATGATGAAAATGAAGATGAAGATGAATATGAAGAAGAGGATGATGATGATGATGATGATGAATGTGATGATGGTGATGATGATTATGATAAAGATGCAGATGATAATGATGATGATGATGAAGATGAAGATGAAGATGACGACGATGATGCTGATGATGATGAAGATGAAGAAGATGATGATGGTGATGCTAATGATGATGATGATGAAGATGAAGAAGATGATGAAGATGAAGATGATAAAGATGATGAAGAATATGATGATTAAGATGATGAAAATGATGATGATGAAGATGCTGATGATGATAATGATGATGATGATGCTGATGATGATGATGATGAAGATGATGATGAAGATGCTGATGATGATGATGATGATGATGAAGAAGAAGAAGAAGAGATAAAAATCTACAGGATGCCAATGAAATCCTTATTTATCTTCCTGCAAAAAGTAGTGAATGGTGCGGCCGGCCAACGCCACAACAGGCCCTTCTGGACCACCTTGGCCTTGGCCTTCTAGGAAAGCGCAGCGACGAATGCCATGCTCCGCCAAAGAACCTGCGAATCAACGGCAGTTCAAAGCTGAGCGGCCCACTTGTGAACGCAATGCAGAAGGGACCAAACCACCTCCCACCTTCCACAATGGTCTCGTAGCACACGTAGCATGTGTCGGGGGCGTCGAAGCGAAGGTCCTCCGCAAAAGTCCGGCTGAACATGTCTACAGCGAGCCCTTGACACATCGAACATCATCTCTGGCAAGAACATCCAATTGAGCAGTTCAAGAAAAATCCAAAAAATAAAAATCACAAAGTACATAATTTACATATAATATATACATATTAAATATTTATAGATATATAAAAATACATGTATATTTATATGTATATAATAAATAAATGTATATATATATATAATATAAAAAAAAGGCTTAGTACTGAACACTTGGATAAGTCTTCATAGCCGGTTCTCCTTCACATCTGCACCTTGGAGTACGTAGAAGTCTTTGTCCTCTGGATGGCTGCCTGGCCAACGGGGAAATCAGCAAGAAAAGAACTTGCTTACTGATAAAAGCTGGAACCACGCCTTGAGGCAAAGTTGCTGAGGTTGGCTTCGCCATGAGACGAGAAAAGAAAACGAAGATTCAGGGTGCTATAGCCTAACTAAACCTCAGATCAAAAAACAGCATTTCACTCTCTGGTTGATAACACTTGCTGGAAGGAAGCTGCATCCCAATGGCAGCACACTTTCTGCCAGCATTGTCGATTCGAATGCTGCTCTTCGCACCGGCGGCTTTGAAAAGATGTTGAACATCAAAAGCCGCTGGCTGTTAATTGATACTGATACTTGTAAGCATCGCTGCATGACCCGATTGGAAACAATGCTGCGATGATGCCCCTACCATCAAGTAAATGTTAAACCAAACCACCACAAGACCAAGCTTTGCTAAAATGATCAATCGACCATGGGTCCTTGATGCTTTCAAACAGGAAAGCGAGCCCCTCGAGACTTCACCCGAGTGAGAATGTCCATGGCAAGGGCTGCCATGCTTGGAACAACGCAATTTCCTAACTGATGCAAACGGCGTCGGTCATCCTGGCTGACCGAATGAACCAACCAGCGATCCATCGGCACCGCATTTGGCTCATTCCACACCTCCTGGAGGTGCTTGGACAGCGGCTCCACATTGGCCTGTTCAAAAAACATCCAAAACTTCAATGAAAAAAAGAAGTTTTACGGCACACAATATCTCATGGCATGGCACGAAGTCCTGCCAACGGTCATCAGACGGATCACAGCAGAGGAAGAAGACCCGAGCACGGTAGGCCTGGGCTTTGCTGGACCCACTTGTGAAAATGGCAACGAAAAAGTTAAGAAGCAGGCCGGCAGGCCACAGTTGTTGAGCTGCACAGTGGCCCAATGGCACCGAAGACCTCGTTTCTGACACTCCTGCAGCGGGTGACTTTAGAGTAGCATAAGCAAAAACAAAACTTTCAAACAAACAACTCAGCCTCCAAAATATAGTGCACCACTGCTCGCATAGCAGCTTTTTGGCCCAGCAGGCCACGCACATTCTCCAGAATCATCCACGGCCTCAAAACAAGCGACTAAGAACTCTCTAATGTTACCGGCTTGATTCCATACTTGGCCCAAGACTTGAAGTCAGTCATAGGTGTGATTTCGTCGCGGGCCCTGAAGACCTCTGTTATCAACCCGCTCCTTTCATCTGCAAGTCCCTGCTGGGACCCAGCAGTACTTATTCCCTGGCGTGTTCGAAGACTGAAATGTGAAATTGCAACTGAGAAAATCGAATGAAATGTGTAAGTGCAAACTGCAAAATCATTGGATTGAAACGCCCGCCAAAGCCTGACAAGGGAATCCTGCCACCACTCCATCTGCACTGACACCTTGATAGCATGCTTTTGTGACGTCTTCCATTACCGGACACTGGTGCAAGGATTTGTCTGCCATGCGTTGAGCAAGCACGTTTCTGCAAGCTGGGTCTCGCTCAACCTGCAGCAGGAAAAAAACCCAAAATGAACCCAACCAGCTTCACAAGAAAGGCGGCCTACAGCCTCAGAACCGCTAGCCTACAGCATTCAGCACACTGAGTGCCCCGCACACAGAACTGGGTAAATCCACCTGAAAGAAAACAAAGCTCCAAGTTCAAAAGCTGAATTGTTGAACCAAAGTCAAAGTGCAGCATTCACTCTATACCGGTTATATTTACATTGAACATACTGCATGTAAAAATCTGTGGGCACACATTTTGCGACCACATCCGCTGCCACTGCGCTGGGCTTTCGGTCCGGCCAAAAAAGAGCGCATCACTCACATGAAACTTTCTTACAAACAACGCTGTCTCTTCGCCTCAGAAAAACGCGTGTGGAGGAATTTGAAAGCAGAACGGACACTTGACAAGAAAGTGCAGGCATCCAGCTGCCAAATGCGTTGCAAAACATTTATCAAAACAAACCAGTCTTTACTTTGAGCTATTAGGCTGAGTCGCAAGTTCTTCTGGGGCTGTGTCAACACCGCTGGTCTTCGTCTCTGGTGGCTGAATCTCCTCCCAGCCTCTACTATCGTAGCTCCAAGACCACCTGACAGGACGGGCATGGCATTGACCCATGGCTACCAACAACTGGTAAGACTGCCAAGCTGTTGATGGAAACTCAGGGCAGAACTGTTTGCCGCCCCATTTGCATGACAGCGGTGTTCCTTTGGGCACCCTGGCAAAATCGACAAACAGGGTCGCAGAAACAAAATGACGGTGCAAAGATAATCAGACTGGCCCTGCCTGATCTGATTCACCCCAACGCAACGAACCACAACAAGTTGAACAGGGTCTCCGTGGCCAGCCACGACATGGGAAGCCATGGCCCAGAACGGTATTCAAACTATTTGCATCAAAATATTTGCTGGACACCACTCGACAAAACTTCTGCGTGATTCAAACCAGTGAGAAAGATTGAATTGAACTCCCTTCAAGCTTCAACTCGCTGAAGCCAAACAGTGCAAAGCAATGAGTCTGAGAGGCCCCAGAAGAATTCAACAACTCAACACTTACATATGTCAATTTGTGAATCAAGACTGACAACTTGTTCGCTTCCTGAGAACCAGGCTTCGCCAACCCCAATTCTAAACCGGCAATGCCGGTAAAGAGCGACACTGCGGCCATTTTGCCACCCGTTGCCTGCCAATGAGGATGCTGCATCCATGAGCTGTTATGATTGAATAACTTGCGCCTTCGCATCTGCATCAGGAAATTGCCGTTTGAGTGACGCTTTGTCCAAGCAGTTGGGCTTCAAGCTGGTCCATCC